CACCCCTCTCCACCCTGAACAGACCCCGCCCCCAGGTGCGGGATGGGGGGCACCCCCAGGCCCCGCCCTGCCCTCCATTCCCCTCTCCCCCGCACCTCCGTGCAGGCCCCGCCCCGTCCAAGCCCAGGGTCTCAGAAGCAAAGCTTTGACGACAGCGCCCCCTGCTGTCCAGAATTGCCCTGGGCCCTGCGCAGACGAGCGGCTCTGGCAAAACCCCAAGGGCCTGGTTTTGCTGAGATGCTGAGGGTGATGGATCTTAGAGACCAAGGGGCAACTGTCCTCCTCCCAGAGCAGAAGCCTCCCTCTGCAGATGTGGCCTCCTATATCTGAGGAACTGACTTTGCGGGAAACTGAGTCACAAGAGGATCTTAAAACCCGAGACGGAGCATGGGAACCTCACAGAACACAGTGGCTGTTTTCCGGTCGTCTCTGCAGTCTTCTGCGAGAGTCCTGGGCCCTGGCTCCTCTGTGGAGTGAGAGCCACTCGAACCCAGTGCCCTCTGGCTGGGGCTCGGGCTCACCTGACTCAGTTGGAGTCAGACTGGGAACCCATCTCATGGGACCAACTCGGCCAGGACCACTCTAAGAAATACTGGCTTAATCCCCACTCGTTTCATAAAGGGCAGGTAGTGACTTACCTAGGGTCACACAGCTCCTCGGAGCAAAAATGAAAGTCTGAGAGCGCAACTGCCACCCCCACCCCCATCACACAGTCAGAGAAACCAGGAAGCCGTCACCAGCTTCCATCCCAGCTCTGCCACCACTGGCTCTGTACATGTGGCATGTCCCTTCTCCTCTCTGAGGAGAACAGGAAATGATCAGCAATAGACCCTCCATGATCCTAGAATTCCTGGGGCAGATGCAGACCTTCGCCCAGGTCACCTCTGCAGTCGTGCAGCTTTCGGTGCTATTTGCTTATTTTTTAATTGCTCCCAGGAGTAATTACTTCCAGGTCATTATTAAATACATGGCTGGGCACTCAGGAGCCACTAAAATACTTTCTGATTTAAAAAAACAAATGTAGAAGAGATTGGGGACCGGTGGATCTTACTAGTAACCTTCACTTGCCCTCAGCAGGCCACCAAGATCAGAAGGCACCCAGACCCTCCACCGCCCATTTATACAGGAGCCAGAGCCACAAACAGTCCTACTGAACAGGCTGCTTTGACCAGGTTCTGCCTTACTCCCACGTATCTTTAGCTACCATCTGCTCTGTGCTTAAGTATTGTGATACAAATTATAAAACCCATATGAGCTCAGATGTTTCATTAACAATTTAAGAGACTGGACCGAGGCATAGGAGGCGAATCTCATTTGCAAGTTAATCAAAAGAAAGGCTAGGGAGCTAATAAAACTCCTGAGCCATTAAATGCACACGGAACAGTAGAGTAAGTACCAAAATATATTTTAGAGTTTTTCCTAAACTGACTAAGCTGCTTTTGTGTATATGTGTATTATTCATTTGAATGGCCCCTGCTGGTATTTTTTAAAATCCATCCCTCAAGTTAGAACCAAATTGGAATGCTTTTACAACCGGAGCCTCTCAGCCATGCTCAAGACAAATGCAGGAGCAGTCCTCCTCGCCCGCCTCCAGACCCTGGGGCAGCTGAGACTACCTCCTGCCTCCCCCACCCTACCCCCAAGCCCTGTCCAGCCCACCCAGGGCTCCAGGGCTCCACCGCTTACTATTTCAATAACCTAAGGCAACTTTCTAAGACTTGGTTTCCTCATCTGTGAAATGGGATGTGACATTCCAGTTTGCCATGTGTCATAAAATGTCTAGCTCCTGCAGACATTTAAATCAGAAACAGAATCCAGACCAATAAGCTATTGGTATGAGAAGACCCTCCTGTAACTACCAGCAATGCTGCTAAGAGGTGACTGAGGTGACTCAGAACCTGGGGGAGACAGGGAGCAACAAGGCACTACTAAATTTAAAAGTTCATTCTTTTGACATAGCAATCCACCTCTAGGGACCTACTCCACAGAAACACTCAAACTACTACTGTACAGATACCAACACAAAGTCATCACAAGCTTTGTTTAATGAATGAATAATGGAAATGATCCAAGTGCCCCAATTTGATGTTATACTATACCCAATATGATGAAATACTAGTCATCAGAGAATGAGATGAGCTTACAATTACTGATACAGAAAAGCATACCAGGGTCTCCTGGGAGGTACCCAGCTCAGGCCAAGTTCAGATCCAGCCAATGCTCTGCCTGGGGCCACCTAGCATGAGGCACCAAGCAATCTGCAGATGACTGCCATCCACATTGGCCTTGGAGGTACCTCAAGAGGCCAAGCCATGAACCAAGGCTAGCTGCTGCTAGCTTGGGGTTGCTTTGCAAGAAATACAGGACACACTGAGGCCAGATGCTTTTTTGGGGTTAGTGAACCTTTGAGAGATTTTAGGAAAGTCCACTGTATGAGCCAAGGCAGGCCCTTTGAATGGAAAAACCACTGGAAGCGACTCGGGCGGGCCTGCGAGTTGGGAGGGCGCCGGGCTTACTGTGTCGGCCAGGTTGATGGAAACTCAGCATGGTGGCCACCTGCATCTGCTGCTCGGTGAAGGAGGGCCCAACAAAGGAACAGTGGCCTCCACCAGCACTTGTCAGGAAAAAGCTGCCCCTCCGGCCCTCATCCTAAAGCCAGACAATTGAGTTCCTCCCTGTATGTCCCTGGTGCCTTTCAATCTGTGACCCCAGCGCTGGAGCTCAGAGCAAGCAACTCCGTCAGTAATTCTATGCACAAGCCCTCCAAGATGAACAACCAGGACCTTCACAGTCCTCCACCCCACTCGGCCACAGTCTCCACTGATTTTCACATCCAAGTGGGGACTCCTCTTGCCGGCATCAGAACCCTGGGCTGGGGAGCCAGGCATGAGGTGGGACCCTTAGCTCTTCCAGGGGACGCCCCCAGTCGAAATATCCCTACCAATTTTCAACCACCACACGCAGCCCATTCCATGTCTCCATCCCTCCTACCAGTCTCGAGGTGGCCTCTTCTGTGTGTCCCCAGTTTGAACATCTGTTCAGCTAGACTTCAGGTGATTGTCAATGATGGTTGTTCTGTAGTTTAGTTGCGCTGGAGCTCAGAGCAAGCAACTCCGTCAGTAATTCTATGCACAAGCCCTCCAAGATGAACAACCAGGACCTTCACAGTCCTCCACCCCACTCGGCCACAGTCTCCACTGATTTTCACATCCAAGTGGGGACTCCTCTTGCCGGCATCAGAACCCTGGGCTGGGGAGCCAGGCATGAGGTGGGACCCTTAGCTCTTCCAGGGGACGCCCCCAGTCGAAATATCCCTACCAATTTTCAACCACCACACGCAGCCCATTCCATGTCTCCATCCCTCCTACCAGTCTCGAGGTGGCCTCTTCTGTGTGTCCCCAGTTTGAACATCTGTTCAGCTAGACTTCAGGTGATTGTCAATGATGGTTGTTCTGTAGTTTAGTTGTAATTCTGATGTGGTCGTGAGAGGAGGCAAGCACGGTGTTTACTTACTCCGCCATCTTGACCGGAAATTCCAGCAAAACAGACATTTTTAATATAAGCTTTATTTTGAAGTTTTAAAAAACTGAAAATATATTTTATAAGTTATATCAGCGCTTAAAAAATAATTTGGGAATGTTAAATATTAATTATTAATTCAAAATAATGACACTCATGGAATATATTCTGATGTTGGCCAATATGAAGTTTATTTAAATCTAGTGTTTTATATAAGCTTAACCTTCCTAAAATTCAATGATTATAATTCAGCTTCATAAGGTTAAAGAAGTCTTTTATGTAAAACCCCATATAACTTTTTCAAATATAAAACATTTACACCAGAAATTATAAAAACATATATAAGTTATATGGGGCTTGATTGTAAGGCTGCCTACAGACAGACAAATAGATGCATTTCACTTCAGAAAGTACACAAGTACACAAAAACAATCGAATATAGATGTCATTACATTCTCTTACAGTTATGTTAAATGGCATACTGCACGATTATAAATGTCACTCTATTATGTATGAACTGAAAAATATGTATATTAAAAAATAAGTCCTTGAAGACACAGGGAGTGGAATGTGCCTGCATCACACACAAAAATGCAGAAGCTTTTTACAGGACTTCAAGGAACTGTCTGCCTGTCTCCAGCTGACTCACAGGCACCGCCGAAAACAGTCGCAACCCTCAGAAAGACAAGATGGTCTTGTTAATGATTTCCATGGACTCCCGAACCTCGTCTTCCTTGATCACAAGCGGAGGTGCAAACCTGATAATGTCGCCGTGGGTTGGCTTGGCCAGAAGTCCATTATCTCGAAGTCGCAGACACACCTTCCAAGCATCGTAATCTAAGAAAAAAAAAATGGTCAAACATGTATGTTGATCAAAGATAAATGTTTAAACATCCCCTGCAGGATGCCTGGGTAAGTGCGGCCTGGCAAATAAAATTCCCACAACCCACTCAAGAAAGACAGCTTGGAGCTGCGAGCTTGCTTTGTTCTGTTCTTAAAAAGGAAATTCCTTGTCGGCAAGTGCATAACTAGGTTTGAATGGTGTGATCAGATATACGGTTTTTGTTAGTTTTTCATAAATGAAAAAGCAAAAAAATTATGTGCTAAGGCTGCTGTATTAGTTACATCAGGAACCAAGGCAAAAAGAATCTGGGTACGATACAGATAATTAACTGGCACAGAATGAGCAATGCTCAAAACCCAGTGAATACTACACGCTCCTAAAACGGATTTGCTTCCTTAGCTTGTGGGACCAAACTCTCTCCCTCTGAGAGCACGGTTCTCAACCCTGGCTGCACGCTGGAGTCACTCGATGTCTGGGCTCACCACAGGCCCACCAAATCAGAACGTTTGGGCTGAGGCTAGGCTTGGATTGACTTTTCAAAAAGCTCCCCGGGTGACTTTAAAATGCAACCAAGGTTAGAATCACTGCTTCAAAAGAAAGGGTTATCACAAGAAAATCCGGCAAGGAATGGTTAAGGGTTACAAACAACGTACTGAAACGCCAAACACGCAATCAAGAGGCAACTCGGGTTATGTTATCATCGTCGGCACGATTCATAATATTATTACTATTGCTCCTATGACCTCGGCTGATAAGCAAAAGGTTACAGCGAGGGAGCAAAGGAAAGCAAAGAGGAAACCTTTACAAAAAAGTGCTCTGAAGGCTTATAAACAGAAACTAACTTTAAACCTCTAAGTTCTGCATAACTAACCTAGGAAAAATAACAAATAATCTAAAGGAACAAAAACAGGTCAAATTAGATGTCCTTTCATGTAGGAAAGAGCTATATTTTCAAGACTATTAAATAAATCAGATGATACTCAGCCTAAAAGACTTGGTCAACAAACAGGTCAGTCAGCAGTTTCAGAGGAACTCAACAACCAGATAAAATGCCAAATGGCTTTTAGCTCTTCCTATGAAAATAATATCTTGAGGAAAATATTTTATCTCCATACCTTTGGTTTCTCTAATAACAATAGCGTTTAATAATCCTTTCCCTCTTACAGCAGTTACGATATCAGATGGTAGCTTCATGAGTTCGTTTCTCAAGATGGTACCCATTTTATCTGCATTTTCAACAAGGTTTTCTTCTTCCAAAACCTATGTTTAAGAAGAAATTACATAAATGTTAAGATTGCCTTTTTTCATATTGTTCTTTGGAGGGGAATGTGGAAAACACACAGAGGAAGAACGTGATTAGATAAAGCCAAAGTAACTTTAATCTCTAATTAAACACACACTAGCTCAGAGAGAACTTTGCTTTAGTCACAAATCCATTATCAATTTGATTTTACGGCAAAATAAGGATTAAAATTTCTTAAATGCCACTGATAGAGTTTATTAGCTGACTAAATCAATGGACTAAATATAGTTTAATTTTTTTAACTGCAATAGAGTTTCCTTTTTTTTCCCCCTAAATAGCCCATCCTTAGAGACTATATAATTTTATGCCTTTGGTAGGCACTTAAGGAATAAGTCTAAAAATGTTCAAATACACACTTAAAAAAAAAAGCAAAAACACCGGTGTGTGCTAAGCCAGAGGCACGACAGGCCAGGCCTGATCACAGAGTGAGCTGTAGAAGGGCCATCCAGTGCCCACAGGCCAAAACTCAGGAAGCCTACAGAGGGCCCCTGTCTATTAGGCCAAGGTTAAATTACTTTTTGAGAATGCCCTGCCCCTAAAACCTTTCCTCTGTAATTCATAGTCTATAAAACTTGACGATCTGCTTACATTTCTCATTACACCAGGGGGCTCAAATTTACAAGTCACATCAGCTACCTAAAGGAACGGATACTGTACAGCGGTGCCAGTTTTTACCTCGAGGGCTGCCATGGCCACTCGGCAGCCCAGCGGGTTGCCACCAAACGTTGACCCATGCTCCCCTGGTTTGATGGTCAGCATTATTTCATCATCACACAGTACTGCGGACACCTGGAAGACCGAGAATTAAGGGCCAACTCAATCAGCCTCCGACCAACTATTCTGATTCTTAGCAGGAACACAAACATTTATGAAGCTGATATTAAACTTGAAGTGAGGCTTCAACAAACACGAGCCACGTCTGCCACATCGACTACCCGTGCCAAACTAAGTAATATCCTAACACGTTACCCTAAGCCTATCGGGAACACTTCAATGGCACAGAGCGATAGCATTTTGGAATTAAGACTCAAGCTGCTTCTACAGTATGATTTAGAACTCTTTCCACGTTAAAGGTGAAATGCCTTGTTTAACTGCTGAGAAGGTGACGTTCCACACTAAACCCCGGAGCCCTTGAACTAGCATGCAGATTGAGAAGCAAACTCAAGAACAGAACTATCGCGAAACACTAACGTTTCCTAATCTCTACATGAATCAGTCATGGTTTCGAATAATTAGTAATACTATATTTCTGGACAATGGGAAGAAGCTCAGAGTTTACAGGAATACTTCTGGGGTAAAACCTTTCCATCCAAAACAAATGCTACAATAAATAAATTTTTTAAAAAAATGCTGTGGCAAATTCCAAGGGACACTCAGTTCTTCAGTTAAAATTAACTGGGTGGGTCACCCCACGGGGCTGACGTTGTTATACACATTCCAGGCGACCTACAGAACACTACGTAAAACCAAACCACAAGAAAGGCACTGTTGTCACACCAGCTGATGTAAAAACATCTTAAGGATGTATTTCAGGAGAGGATACCATTCAACTTACAGGGTATAAGCCACCAGAAAGCGCCTTTCCAAGAAGGACTATATCAGGTCTGACATTTTCATGATCGACGGCCAGCCATTTACCAGTTCTGGCCAATCCTGTCTGTATTTCATCAGCAATAAACAGAACCTATTGGAAAATGATATAATAGCATTAATTAGCAATTTTGTTTCCATAGGGAAAACAGCGATCTTTATTTTACTTTTCCCTCACAGTAGTGTTATCTGGCATTCCCTCAGATTTGTGTAAATGTTTTAATTATCCATGTAATTTCAATACTGTTCTGTGAAAACCCTGTCACGCCAATTATCTCCTGCGTCAGGCCACTGTCCCCCAGAGGCCCACTCTGCGCTGTCCTACAAAGTGGACAGGTGCGTATGCAAAGTGAGGGGCTGTGGGGTTTTTCTGGATGTAACTACCCTCTGGAAACAAGTTACTTCACTTGTTTATTCCACAAACATCTATTAAACATTTACTTCTTATTAAATATTTAGCAGCTTGGTGGGAAGAGGAGGAAAGAACGTAAATGCTGGAGCACAGGGGTACGATAAAGGGTTTGGGAGGGCGCAAAGAACAGGCTGCCAGAGAGGGGAGATGGAGCACGGTGGGGACAGGGAGACAGGGAGTCTGCAGCTCTGCCAGGACCCAGGGTCTGGCCAGTTTCCAGAGCCAATAAAAGTCGGCTTCTTACTTGAAAGTAATTTAAAGATACATATATAGATAGATAGATAGATGATTAGATAGATATAGATAGATGATTGATAGACAGACAGACAAGATAGTCGGCTTCTGTGCACGCTGATGATAGCACTAGAAAGTTCTGAAGCTCTAAGAATGGCGACAAGGGGGCAAGGTTAGGTAGTGTTTGCATTTATCCCACGAGCAGGACAGAGGTACGGGCAGGTGAGAACAGGGGCCACCTGGTGCCGGGTGCAGAGCTCACGGATGCCTGTCAGGTAGCCCGGGTCTGGCACAATGACGCCCGCTTCGCCCTGAACGGGCTCCACCATGAATGCGGCGATGTTCGGGTCCTGGAGAACACGCTACAGAAAGGTGTGAAAGCGTGTTAGTAACCTCCTTTCCAGCCTATTTGGAAATCTGAAATCACAAAATTTTCCTAATAATATAAAGTATATAAATTAAGTTTTCGCACTAAATTATATTGACTTCAAAGTATAACATTTCTGACTAACAGTCAATTTACCAAAAGCTCTACGTACTTCAGCTTTAAGCTACTCTATCCTGCATTTTCTTATAGCCAAATGTACTGTAACTAAAAGTTAAAGAAAATGACGTTTTAAAAAGCCATTTTAAGTGAATCTTTCTATTTTGCAAGTTATTTTAAAAGCTATCTGAAAACTGAGTAATTTTATCTAGTAAAGTAATTAAACAGGCACTAACCAAGTTATTACTTATACAGGACACAAATCTAAAACAGTCAGCTGGTTATGAGGATTAGACCACGGAGGCCAGTCTGTCCATGTTGGAAACTAATTGACTGAGACCAGTCTGAAATCTCAGCCTTAGATTAGATTTTCATTAAAGTCACACACCTATTTTCAATTCATGTATTCAACACATTCCTATTTACTATGAGCTAGAGCACGTGATGTCAGTTAAGTACCTCAAGAGCGGGCAGATCATTATATGGAATGATTTCAAAACCTGGCATAAATGGTCCAAAACCTTCGTAACTGTTTGGGTCTGTGGAACTGGAGATAGCAGACATAGTTCTACCCCAAAAGTTTCCAGCTAGAACAGAAAAATAAAATACACAGTGATTATTCCAAACAAACCCCAAATTTAATAAGCACAGTCCCCCCCGCAAAAGAGTCTGACTTTTGAAAAACTAAGAGTTTCCTTTAGAGGGACTCCGGTGAGCATCTATTTATTAAAACAAAATCTGCTACCAAACACCAGGGCTCACGACCACCAAGGTCTGGCCTTGCAGTCACTATTTCAGACACTTCTCTACCGAACTCCTAACTGGGATACACAGTCTGAGAATAGATACTTGTCCTTCCTTTCAATAATCCTGGACACTAACAACTGAGGCGTTCAGCGCAGGTTTTTCTAGAGATACTGCATCTATGTAAGTGATATGAGAAAGAGACTATCCTTCACAGAGAATGAGCGGTTTTCTTTTTTAAAAAATCCAGTACTCCAGGCTAACTGTTCTACAGAATGAATTTTAAATTTTACTTGGAGAAAATAGCCTCGGGCAAGCCAAACATTTTCAGTTTTGCCTTCCTTGCTATTATAATCTCTTGTGCTCAACGACAGACATCTGTCTCTTCACAGGAACATTTTTAACCCATAAATTTATTTCATTCATAAATCTGAGTGAGGACCTACTGTATGGCAGGCACTGTCCTAGGTGTTGGGCACAGAATGGTGATCACGACTAGCCAGCTCCCCGCCTTCAAGGAGCTTCTGCTTTAAGAGGAGAAACTCCGGAACGTAAAGCAGATACATGAGATCATTTCAACTGGATTAAATTCAAGGAAGGAAAATCACAATGTAGAATAATAGAGACTCGGGGGGTTCTTCTGCTTTTTTTTTTTTTTTTTTAATATTATTTTCCCCAGCACAGCCTACA